GCGAGGGCGAAGAGGAGGAGGAGGAGGAGGAGGAGGAGGAGGAGCAGACGAGGTGAGGTCCCGCAGCCGTTGCTGGCGCGAGATCTCTCCCCCCCCCCGCGGCGCGGGCCTCGGCGTGGGCGGCGGCGCGCCTCTACCCGGAGGCCCCTCCTCTGCCCCCGCCCATTCCCCCTGCACTTCCGCTTCCTCCTCCTCCTCCTCCTCCCCCCCCTCCTCCTCCTCCTCCTCCTCCTCTCCTCCCTCCTCCTCCGAATCCTCTTCCTCCCACTCCTATCTCCTCCTCCCCTCCTCCTCCTCCTCCTCCTCCTCCTCCTCCTCCTCCTCTTCCTATCTCCTCTTCCTCCTCCTCCTTCATTCCTTCTCCTTATAGATAACTTCTCCCTGTCGTACCTCGAGGCCAATTTTTAGGGCGGCCAGGCGTTTCGCCTGAGACTACCTCACCATTGAAGACCCTGAAGCATCAACATTGGCAACATGTTCACAGATGGAGAGTGGGTGGTTTTCAGAATGTAGCTCTCGCCTTAGCGCCGCACACAGTCGTTACAACTTGTTTGCTAGAGTTTCGCGGATTCCCGGCGACTGGTTTCCAAAATTATGCTCTCGTTTTAGCGCCGCGCACATTCGTTTCCAAAAATTGCAAGAGCTTCCCGGATTGAGGGCGGGTGGTTTTCAATCTGTGGTTCTCGCCTCAACGCTGCGCACATTGTCAACATGTGCAAGACTTTCACGGATTGAGGGCGGGTGGCTTTCAATATGTGGCTCTTGCCTTAGCGCCACGCACATTCGTTTTCAACATTTGCAAGATTTTCACTGATTGAGGGCGGCTCGTTTTCAAAATGGCTCTCGCCTCAGCGCCGCGCACATTCTGGTTAAACCATTGCAAGAGTTTCATTGATTGAGGGCGGTTCCTTTTCAAAATGTGGCTCTCGTCTTAGCGCCGCGCACATTCTTTTTACACAATTGCAAGAGTTTCGTGGGTTCCTGGGATCGACGTGCCAGAACTTGTGTTTTGGAAGGGTTCACGATTGTGAGGGCGCCACAGTTACGATGACTCGCGGAGTTGAGGTCCCAGGAATGGCGTTCTGGCACGATTCAGGATCGTCAAGACGCAGCAGTCAGGTTCATCCGTGGCGTTGGAATACCGAGAATCATGTTTTGACATGTTTCAGGGTCTTCAAACGGCTGTCTTCCAACGAGGCAGGTCCCTCTGTGGAAATGAGCCGTTGTAATGGTCTGTGAAGAGGGAGCTTTGGGGGAGGGTTTATTCCAACACCGTTGGTAACTCTTGAGTTTGCACTGGTCCTCCTCCTCCTCAAATCTTCTCCTCCTCCTCCTCCTCCATCTCCTCCTCCCCCTGCTCCGCCTCCTCGTCCTCCGCTTACGCCTCCTACCTTTATAGTTATATGTACATGCTTCCTCCTCCTCCTCCTCCTCCTCCTCCTCCTCCTCCCTCTTCTCTTCCAGGAACTCTGGGACTGCTAGCTCCAGTAGGACATCGCTGCATCGCATCAGTATCATCTGAACCGCGTGTTCCCAATATCCTGCTCTTCTCCTGCTCATCCTCTTTTTGTTCACAGATGTTCACAGCACAGGCAGAGATCGGAACAGGTGCCTCCCATCCTCCAGGTTTTGCGTCAAGCCCTGGCGCCCTCGCACGCGCCCCACCTCCTCGTCCTCTCCCCATCTGCAGCCCCTCCTCCCACTCCTCCCCCTCCGCCTCGGCCTCCTCCGCCTCCTCCCCCTCGTCGTCGTCGTCGTCGTCGTCGTCGTCGTCTTCGTTTTCCTCCTCCTCCTCCTCCTCCTCCTCCTCCTCCTCCTCCTCCTCCTCCTCCTCCTCCTCCAAGGGCCAGCAGCTGCTCCCCCCGCACTGACCCGCAGGGATTCGTACTCACAAGGTAGCGAGCCTCTCTTACGAGGCCACATCGGAGCTCACCCCTTGAAGCTTCGGGGCGTGCCCCCTGCCGGCCGGAGTGGGAAGTCAGGGTTGCAGCAGAACCAAATCGCGGGGGATTTCGCAGACGTGCGCAAGGCACCAGTCTAGGTGTGATAGCGTTGACCCCCTTATGCGGATGTCCTGTCCTGTCATGTCCTGTCCTCTTCCATCCTTTTGTTCCATGTGAGTAATTTCTCCCGGTCGCACCCCGAGGTAAGTTTTTAGGGCGGGCCGGGCGTTTCGCCTGAGACGTCCTCGCCATTTGTGGCCCCGAGGTTGAAAACAGCTGGCAACTGTTTCACAGATGGAGGGCGGGCGGTTTTCAAGGTGTAATTACCGCCTTTGCGCCGCGCACAGTCTTTTCAACTTTTTGTGACACTTTCGCGGATTCCAGGCGACTGGTTTCCAAAGTGTGACTCTCGTTTTAGCGCCGCGCACATTCGCTTTAGGAAATCCCCTGGGTTGCACGCATTCGTTTCAAACATTTGCAATAGTTGCACGGATTGAGGGCGGGTGGCTTTAAACTGTTGGCTCTCGCATTAGCTGCGCGTGCATTCGGCTTACACAGTCGCAAGATCTTCACTGATTGAGGGTGTCTGTCGTTCAAAATGCGGTTCTCGCCTCAGCGCCGCGCACATTCGCTTATACATGGATAAGTGTCGCACGGATTCCCATGACCAACGTACCAGAGATGGTGTTGGACAACTTTAGGCACACGTGGGTGCAACAGTTACGTTGGCTCGCGGTGTTGAGGTCCCAGGATCAGCGTTGTGGTACCATTCAGGCTCGTCAAGGCGCAACAGTCAGGTTGATCCGTGGCTATGGAATCCCGAGAACAATGTCTTTGTACGCTTCAGAGTCTCAGAACGGTCGAGTCCAGCGAGGTAATTCCTTCACTGGAGATGAGCCGTTGCAGGAGATTGCGAAGAACGAGTTGGAAGGAGGGTCTATTCCAACGTCGTTCAGGACTCTTGGGTTTACAGTGGTCCTCCTCATCCTCATCCTCCTTATCCTCCTCCCCTTGCTCCTGTGCATTCTGGGGTGTGCGACTCGCGCCGCACGCGGGACGTCCCCTATTCTTGCTCTGCTGTCTTCTCTTGGACCTGCCTCTTCGGAGGCCTCCACCGTCCTAGCCCTAGTCCTGGTCCTCATCCTTCTCCTCATCCCTCTTCTCTGGCCTCCTCGGGGGAGTCTGGGGAACATCCAGGACCTCTGGTGACCTTTCCGCGCCCCGGGTGCCCCCCGTGCAGGTTCGGCCCTCGTGCGACCCTGTAGTTGCTCGGCTTACTATGTTGGCACCATCGTCCGCCACGGATTCATTGCCATATAGCTAGTTTATCGAAGACGTCGCCAGCGGCGATTCACAACAAACGTCGGGCCGAAGATGTGCCAATAGATTGGTCTGTCAGTTTCTCCTGCCACTGCGGAAGTCCAGCGCACTGGGAGGAGGACGAGAAAGAGGAGGAGGAGGAGGAGGAGGAGGAGGAGGGAGAAGAGGAGGAGGAGGAGGAGGAGAAGAAAAAGGAGGAAGCTGAGGCGTCTGCTGGTGCCCAGCATTGCTCGCGCTGAGTTGTTTTTCTACGTTTCGAGGGGGTCTGGTGGCATGGCCCCGATTCACGGTTCAGGACGTGCCAGATCGCGGTCAGGCCCATTCCGAATCGCGAAGCCGTCCTATCTTGGAGATCGTGCATCTTCCCACCCTGGATTCGGATGGGGTCCGTGTCGGAAGATGGGGTCGTCGGTCGAGTAGGGCCGAGGGTCAGAGAGCGCCCTCCCTGCAAGAGCACCAAATAAGGGACGTCAAGGTGGCCAACCGCCTCGCCGAGTAGCCGACGAGTATGTGCAAAGTCCAACCATTCGCTTATGTCAAAAATTTTGGCTTGACGCCGGGTGTGGTGCATCAGTGTCAGCTTGACCGAACAGGCTGGTTGCGCCCCTTGACGTCCGTTTGGGGCGTTCTGCAGACCTGCCCCCCCAGCCCTACTCGAGGATCAGGAGGGACAGAAACACACATGCACAATTCATCGTCGATTCCCCCAGAAAATATGGGAAACTATGGGAAGTGTGGGTGAAGACAAAAGCCCTGAACATATGAAAAAATATGGGATATCTTTATTTGTGTGTATTTGTTTGTGTGTCCTCCTCCTCCTCCTCCTCCTCCTCCTCCTCCTCCTCCTCCTCCTCCTCCTCCTCCTCCTCCTCCTCCTCCTCCTCCTCCTCCTCCCCCTCCAGAGGAGTCGTCGGACCAGGTCGCGGTCTGGGCCGTGCTCGATCGTGGACCTGGGGCTGCGGGGGGGAGGTGCCCCCGCTCGGCCGTCGGTGGCCTCCCGGGCCGCTCGCCTCCCGGCCGAGCCGGGGCCCGGGAGGGGCGCGATGGCCGCGGGGGGCGCCGCGGCCGCCTCGGCGGGCGGCAAGAGGACTCCTCGCCGCCCTGCCTCGTCCCTCCCTCCCTCCCTCCCTCCTCCCTCCTGGGGGAGTGAGGAGGAGAAAAGGCCCTCTCAGAAGGCGGCGGGGCTTCCGGGAAGCCCTCGCGCCCTCCGAGGGGTCTCCTGTGCCTTCGGGGGAGGCTCGGAAGAAGACCTCTCAGTAGGCCAGGGGGACTTCCGAGCCTTCTGAGAAGGCCCGCCCCTTCTCACTGCCCCCCCCCGCCTCGGCGCTTGCAGTGCCCATGTCGATCGGGTCGACCCGAATTTCGATCTTGAGTTTCCGGCGGGCTCGACTTGATAATGGGTTCTGATTCCCACATTCCGATGCGTCCGATACGACCTGGTGTTTGCAGGTCGATGTGGTGCGTCTTGGCGCAGCCGATCTGGTTCGATTTCGATTACAGTCGGGGCCCTGAAGAAGGAACCCTCTTCGTTGGGGAGGGGCTCCGCGTTCCTTAAGTGTTTCACAGCTTGCCTCAGGCTTTCCTTAGGTTTTCGATAGGAAATCTAAGTTTAACTTCTGGAAAAAAGGGGCCTCGTTCCTTATTTCGGGTTCCTTAGGTCAACGCCCCGACTGTATGTTCCGATGCATCCAACTCCGACTCGCATTCCGATGCTTTGTGGTTTCCCGAGTCGATCATGACTGATCTTGCCGTCGCAGTCGCCGTTGGCGGAGAAGGAGGAGGAGGAGCAAGAGGAGGAGGGCGACGATGACGACGACGATGGCACCGCCGCCACTGACGACGACGACCCATACCCAGACAAAAAGAATCGAGGTGGCCCGTCTGTGACCATGAGCGGCATCTGGGGGCCAGTTTCAAGGGCTTCAGGGCCGTCGAAAGCAGATCCGCGGGATGAAACACCAGCCGTGGGGAAGGAGTAGAGAGGTCCAGGTACTCACGCATCGAACAAGTCGAAGCGCGGGATGTCTGGGGCCGTCGTCGTCGGGGTCGTCGTCGTCGTCAAAAAAGGAGGAGGAGGAGGGGGAGGAGGAGGAGGAGGAGGAGGAGGAGGAGGAGGAGGAGGTGGAGGAGGAGGAGGAGGAGGATAAGGAGGAGGAGGAGGAGGAGGGAGACGACGACAACAGTGCCGACGGCGAGGACGCAGAGGACGATGACAAGGAACAATCTGGAGGATAATTAGAGTGGCATGTGGAGTGTGGGGGAGGAGAAAGATCAGAAGGAGGAGAGGTGTGTTGAGGGGGAGGAAGGAGAGGAGCAGGAGGATGGCAGTTGACAGTGGAGTGCGAGGAGTGCCGTGTGAGCTGTGGACCGGAGGCAGCGAAGATGGGAAGCGGGAGGGGGAAGGGGGGAGCAGGGAAGATCGGATCTACCATCTACCCTCGTGCTCCTGCCTCTCCTCATCAGTCTGCTGCTGCTGCCGCTCGTCCTCCTCCTGCTTTCTCCAGCCTCACAGAAGCCGCTGCTATCAGCGGGGTGGCCACGGGATCCGCTTTCGTAGCCAGTCCCTTCTGGGAAGGGCTCCCGTCGCCAATTACACCGAGCGGACTTTCTTTTCGAGGGGGGGGGAATCGGTCAAGAGGCCGGCGTGTTGGTGTCCTGACCCGACCCTTCCCCGCGCGTTTTGAATCCTCCTTCCTTCAAGCAGTGGTGAAGCGTCTTTGCTCGCCTCTAGGCCCACCAAATAATGTTCTAAGAACCTCGTGCGCCCTGCACGAACTGTTCTTAGAACATTTCTGGTTGAGAATGTCTTGCGCATCGAGTTTATGGTCTGAGGACATATCTTGTTTTTGTTAATAGAACATGTTCGGGTTCTAAGAACATGTCCTGGTAGGACTAAAGGAAAGCCGGGACGGGTCCCTGCTTAATTCCTCATCCCTCGTCCTCGTTCTCTTCCCTCCTCCCCCACCTCCCTCGTCCGCCACTGGTTTTCCTGTCCCGCCTCCTCGTCAACCTCTCGGTGGGCGCTGTTCGGCCTCCTCCTCGTCATCCTCCCTCTTCTTCTTCTCCTCCTCCTCCTCCTCCTCCTCCTTCACACGCTCCTCCTCCTCCTCCTCCTCCTCCTCCTTCTCCTCCTCCTCCTTCTCTTCCTTCTCCTCCTCCTCCTCATCCTCCTCCCTCTTCTTCTCCTCCTCCTCCTCCTCCCCTCCTCCTCCTCCTCCTCCTCCTCCGCCGTAGCCACTGCTGGCTCAAGCCATTCTGGCTCCAGCCACGGGGGGCCCAAGCGCGGGCCCCTCGGCCCCTCGCGGCAGGTGGCGCCGCCCGCGATGGCGGCGCCTGGGCCTGCCGCTGGAGCATGGGTCGCGCTGCGGCTGCTGAAGGGCGGGGTGAACATGGCGATGGGGAGGAGGAGGAGAAAAGGAGGGGGAGGAGGAGAAGGAGGAGGAGGCGGAGGAGGAGGAGGAGGGGGAGGAGGAGGATGACAAGCTAGGTGCGCTCGCGTCATATCTGACGTCCTACCCCTCCCTCCCATCCCTTACCATGGCGCCGATTTTCTCTATCCGCGGACGCGTGTCGTAGCGGACCTGTGGCTCCGCACGCGCGTGCGTAGTGGATGGTGGTGCGCGTGCGTGCGTGCGTGCGTGCGTGTGTGCGTGGTTGTGGTGGTGGTGGTGGTGGTGGTGTTGGTGGTGGTGCTGGTGCTGGTGTTGTTGGTGGTGGTGGTGGTGGTGGTGGTGCTGGTGGTTGTGATGGTGGTGGTGGTGGTGGTGGTGGTGGTGGTGGTGGTGGTGCGGCGCGGTGGTGGCGGGCGGATGGGCGCGCGAGAAAGAGGCCCGCGCTGGGGCGAGAACGCCATCCTGAACGACGGAGGCCAAACACCGATCCGAAAATGAGGCCCACGCTGCAGCGGGAGCACGATTCGGAACGATTCGGGAGCAGAAATGAGGCCGGCGCCTCAGCGAGAGCAGCATTTTAAAAAAAACGCAGGCGAAAACCCGTTTCCCGGGAATCCTGTGTGTAAAAAAAACAGTACGCGGGGGGGGGGGGGGCATCTTCGGGACGCCGTCAGGGGAAGTGGGAGAGTATTTTCATATTGTGTAATTGTGGAGGGGAAGGTGGAGGGGGAGGGGGAGGGGGGAGGGGGAGGGGGAGGGGGAGGAGGAGGAGGAGGAGGAGGAGGAGGAGGAGGAGGAGGAGGAGGAGGAGGAGGAGGAGGAGGAGGAGAGGAGGAGTAGGAGACCCGGGGGGGGTGGCCCGCCCGGCCGAGCCCCTGGCGGCGGCTGCGGCCAGGGTTGCGCGCCAGAGGGCGCCGCCACAGCCCCTGGGGCGGGAGACGGCGACCCGTGGAGTGTGAAAGGAAACCGTCTCATACCCTCATCTCTACTCCTCACTCGCCCTTTTGCCTGCCCTATCGGCTAAGGTAGTGGAAGGGACCAGGACGCTGGTCGCACAGGAGGAACAGATCCCTATCTTTCCTTCCTTCCTCTACCTACGGATCAGGGGTTCTGTACCTTTGTATTCTAACCCCATACACATGGAACGGCTGCCGCGGCCATTCTCTCGAAGGCGCGGCGCGGGGCCGATCGCGACCGCGGCTGCCGTCGCCCGCGCTGTGCTCGCCGCCGCCGCCGAGCAGGCCGCGGCGAGTCCTGCGACGTCGGCGTCGCCCGGAGGGCGCTCCAGGGCTTAGTGGGCCCTGGAAGCGGCAGGGCTGTTTTTTTCACCGTTTCCGAAAAAATGCCCCTTGAAGATGGAACCGGCAAAAAGACGGCGACCGGAAACGGTAACAACAACGGCTCCTGTATTGGAGCCGGAGCCGGAACCGGTCAAAAACGGCGACGAAACCAGTGGAAAAACGGCGTCGGAATGGGCAAAAAAAACGGCAAAACGGAACCGGTAAAAAACTGCCCTGTCGTTTCCAGGGCCCACTAAGCTCCAGGGCTGCGGCCAGAACTGCGCGGATTCCGTGGGCAAGCGCGTCGATCACGACGCCACGAGGGACTGGCAGGTCGGCGAGAAGTCTGCGCAGCGGGGCACGCAGGCCAATGAGGGCGAGGGCCTGTCCGGGTACGCGGACGGCACCATGCAGATGAACGGCATTGGCGATTTTGGCATTCGTGGAGGCGTCGACGTTGTCGTCGAGGAGCCTTTCCACGTGGCCGAGGCCATCACCCGGAAGGACACGCTGGACGTCGAGCCTCACGGCAATGACGTGAGCTTCGACGGGGCACAGCGCGGACGGTGGGCGGACGGGATAGACGAGGACAGCTTGCTTGCGTTCGCCGTCGACGGGGTCAAGTCCCTGGTCGAGGACTAGCGGCACCAAGAACCAGGAAGTAGAGCACGACGGCCTGATCCCGATCGTGCTGCACATCGTGAAGGATCACCAAGCCGAGTACCAGAGCCAGGACGGCCAGGACGTACACGAGGATGGCCTAAGGCAAGGCGCGCTTCTTCAAGCATGGCAGCGTTGAGGCGTCCGTGGAGCTGGAAGTCGTGCCCGCCTTCAACGTCCACGGAGGTCCAGACCCTGGTCGAGGACGCGAGCGGCATCGCGAAGCAGCGTGGACGGCGACCTGATCTCGATCGTGCAGCACGAGCAGGGGGACCAGCAGTACGGCCAGGACGCGGCCGGAGAAGGCCAGGCGCGCGAGCTCAAGCAGGGCACCGTGGACGCGGCCGCGGAGCTCAACGTCGTGCCCGTCGTGACGTCCGCGGAGTTCCAGGCCGAGACAGCGGGCGTGACTGACTCCGAAAGCACGCCGAAGGAACTGGATGGCCAGAACGTGGACGGCGCCGTCGGCGCTGGCTTGGCGCCAGCAGGCCCCGAGCTGGGGCTGCTGCCCGAGGATGCCCAACCTCCGCTCCCCGTGCAGGTGGAAGCTGTGCCGGGCGCTCCTGACGGGCGGCTCGCGCCGGAATCGCCGCGGCACGAGGAAGGGTCGCTGCGCAGGCGCACCCGGCACAAGAGGATTCAGAACATCGATCGAGAAGGAGTGCGACTGCCAGGTCGCGCAGGCTCGCGCCGGACACGAGCGCGAGGTGGAGCGGCTTGCGGTGCTTTGGAACAGGGGTGGACTGAAACGGTGTTCTGGCGATGTCGTGGGCCGTTTTCGTTTCGATGTCGTTCTGCAGCGAAGGCGAACTGCAGACAGAACGAGGGAGAACGAGCACAGAGCAGAAACGAAAAACACTGTTTAGGTCGAGCCTGGCTGCGGAGTGCCAGCCTGGAGAAACACATCACCACCTACCAAACCATCCCAACCCAACCCGAAGGCCTCAATTTGCCCTCCATTTCCAGTGGGGGGGGGGTCGGGGAACGTTGAAAAAAACACGTGGAACCCGTACCCCCCAAACCCGAAATTCGGGTTAAATTCGGGTCTTCGGGTTGGGTTGGGGTGGTCTGGTAGGTCGTCAGCACAAGAAACGCAGTGTGGAGCAGCTGCCGGGTGTTCGCCCAGGCGGGCGGCTCTGGAATGCTGGCGTTCCCGAGGCCCCCGAGGCGTGAGGAACGCACGCGTCGGGCCCTCTTTCCTCCCGGACACTGCGTCCTTAGGCTGTTTCTCTCTTCCTCCTCCTCGTTCCTCCTCCTGCTCCTCCTCCTCCTCCTCCTCTCCTTCTCCTCCTCCTCCTCCCCTTCCTTCTCCTCCTCCTCCTCGTCATCATCATCATCATCATCATCATCATCATCATCATCATCATTATCATCATCATCATCATCATCATCATCATCATCATCATCATCATCATCATCATCATCATCATCATCATCATCATCATTATCATCATCATCATCATCATCATCATCATCATCCCCCCTTCCTTCTCCCTCTCCACCTCCTCCTTCTCTTTCTCCTTCCTCCTCCTCCTCCTCCTTGTTTTACTCCTCATGTTCCTCCTTGTCCTCCTCCTTCTCCTTTTTTTCATCCTCTTTCCCCGCCTTCAGTAGCCAGCAGGAGAGGTTTTCACGCAACCGAGCCGAGGCCGCCCGCCGCAGGGTAGCCGAACGTGCTGCCTCGAGGAGGCTCGAGCTGGGACAAGTCGGGCTCACCGAGCTCTTCACTCCGAAGCGCGGCCTGGTATCCTTCGAGGAGCAGGCGGGAACTTCACTTTCAGTATTGTGCTGCCGCTCTGTCGCGTCTTCACCACGCTCCGCAGTAACTAGCCGCTTGGACACACTGCGCCTGGTCCTGAAGGTCCTGCAGGCCCCTCCGCCTTAGGCATGAGTCGTCCCTGTCGCCATCGCCAGACGTGTCGTTAGGACGGGCCGGGCGTTTCGCCCGAGTCTCCTCCACCGCTTGCTCTGCACGAATGAAATGGGCACGGAAAGAATGGGTACAATGCCCAAGAGCGGATTTGGTTCACTTTGAACAGGACTCGCAGTCCGCGCCGCCGCGGCCCGTGTCCATTCGAGACAGAAGGCCGCCTGCCCAACTGCGGCTGCTGTTGGTTTGGGACAACATTTGCTGCTGGGCATTGTACCCATTCGTATGGTACGGTAGGTTCGCGTCGTGTCGACCGGCGGCGACCCCGCCGCCGACGTTCAACGTTGAACGCCGACGGCGGCCCAGAATCGGTCGATGTTGAACGATCGGACGTTGCGGAGACGGCCGATCGTTCAAGGTTGAACGATCCAGCGCGGTGTCACGAACCAACGCCAGGGTCGACACGGCACGGACCTGCAGTACCCATTTCAGGCGTCCAAAACCGTCTGCGATCTCGAAGTTCGAAGCATCCAACAGCAACACGGGGCGCGGATCGCTGCTCACGCGCGGCCGTCGCCCCGGCGCCGCGCGCGCCCGCCGTCGGGCGCACGTGGCAGGGGCCGGGGTGGGCGAGCGGATTTCTGCTGCGTGCTCTTGCTTTGGCGCCACGCTTGCTCGCCGTGGGATTCTCCCACGACAGAGCGGGTGGAGTACTCCAGATTTCGTAATCAAGGGAGGGGGGGTCTCATTTCGGGGGGGGGGTCTCTTCCGGGCTGTCTCGGAGGGCCTGGGGGGTCTGGAGACGATGTTTTGGAGGGTTCTCCCGCGGGGGAGGTCTGAAATGGCTTGTCTTGGAGGGTCCAGACCCCCTCCCTTTTATTACGAAATCTGGAGTACCTTTCCCCACCAGACAGGTTGGGGCCGTTAGAGTTTAACAGCAAGCCTCCCGGCCACTCCCACCCTGCACACCGCGGCCGCCCGACCCCAAGTTGTCCCGAGTGCCCCGGTTATCCCGCCTCGCGCCCTCGACAAACACGACAGAACACACCTTGCATTCCGCGGCAGCCAGACCCGAAGTTGTTCCGAGTGTCCCGGTTATCCCGCCTCGCGCCCTCGACAAACACGACTGACACATCCTGCGTGCCGTTGCCGCCAGACCCGAAGTTGTTCCGAGTGTCCCCGTTATCCCGCCTCGCGCCCTCGACAAACACGACAGAACACTCATTACATACCGCGGCCGCCAGACCCAGAGTTGTTCCAAAGCCCCGGTTATCCCGCCTCGCGCCCTCGTCGCGAGCCTTGGGACGGGGGTCAATGCAGACGGGGGTCAGCCAGGGCGCCGGATCCTGCAGGATCCTGCGAAGATGCCCTCTGGCTGACCCGGGTCAGCGAGCCGCTCGTGGCCGCGAGGCGGCCGCGCCTATTGGCGGCCGCGAGGCGGCCGCGAGGTTGCAAAGACTTGCGTTGCAGTTATGTTTTCCTGCGTTGCAGCTTTTTGGTTCCCTGCCGACCCGGGTCTGGATTGACCCGGGTCAGAAGACTTCCGACCTCGACAAGCGCGGCAGAGCACACCCTGCATACCGCGGCCGCCAGACCCCGAGCTGTCCCGAGAATCCCGTGCATCCCGCCTCGCGCCCTCGGTAGACACGACAGAACACAAACTGACGCAACAGAATATGACAGAACAAAGCAAGAGCATAGCATAGCATTGCATAGCAGAACATATCACCATCATGACAAAATGGAGGACGCCAGCATCTAACATATCAAGGCAGCACGTGACAGAGCTTAACATGTTATAACACAGCATAAAGTATCATAACCGACCATATCATACTTCACGTTGGCATACCATATCATATCATGACGCAGCGACACCAATCATATCATTAGGCAGCATCAGAGCGAACGTCGAACACGCCATAACACAACATGCCACCACATAATATAACATACCATAGCACGATCATGCTATACCATGACCGATCACAGCACAGCAATATCATGACACAAACGAGCATGATATAGCATCACATAACACACCATATAAGAACGTGGTATAACCGAAGGCGACACAACACAACTTCACATAGCATAGCCGAGGAGCACATAAGACACCTTGGCATAATATCCCATACCTGCATCCCATCGTATAACATATCCAAACACGACAGTAAATCATATTGCCACACGTTAGCATACCAGGTCATAACAAATTCTTGACGCTTCGCGTATCCCCACCAGCCCATCCAGAAACGACGCCCAGGCGAGTAGAGGTGATCATGGAAGCGGGGCAGCATACAGAGGAACAAGGGGCTGGGGAGGCCGTCGTACCCCAAGGGGGGGGGTGGGATGGAGGAGGAGTCGGAGGCGGAAGAGGAGGAGGATGATGAGGGTGGGGAGGGAGGAAGGAGGAGGAGGAGGAGGAATAGGCGGATGATGATGTTGATGTTGATATTGATGATGGCGATGATGGTGGTGGTCTTGACGATGGTGATGGTGATGGTGATGGTGATGGTGATGGTGATGGTGATGATGATGATGATGATGATGATGATGATGATGATGATGATGATGATGATGATGATGGTGGTGGTGATGATGAGGGGGAGGAGGAGGAGGATAAGGGCGATCAGAAGAGTCAAAGGCCTCTTGATTGCCTCGCGGAGTCTCTTGGGATGTCTCTTGGGATACTCTTTGAGGTCTCTTGGGGCGTCTTGGGGGCCTCTTGGCGGTCCCGGGAGCTTCTTAGACCGTCTTGGATGCCTCGTGGGAGTCTCTTGGGGCCTCTTGGGGGCCTCTTGGGGGTATTTTGGGGGACTCTTGGAGGCCTCTTGGGGCCTCCTGGTCGCCTCTTGGGCCCTCCTGGGCGCCTCTTGAGGCCTTCTTAGGGCGCTCTTGGGAGCCTTGGGAGCGCTCTTGGGGCCATCTTGGAGGTGATCGATCAAAGGAAGGGGGTCCCTCAATTAGCCTCCCCCCTCGGGAGCCTCCAAAATCGGCCAAAACCTTAGTAAAACCGATGATTTGGGCTTCCTCGCCGAGGCCGTTTTGGACGCTCTAACTACCAGCGGCCCCCCCTGTCCAAGTCCAGGGGAGGGGGTTAGGGGGAGGGGTAAACCCCTCCCCGAAGGGGATAAGGAGGTTGGAAGAGGAAACTCCCGGAACCACCTACGCCCAGAGGGCTGGTGGGATTATAAGATCAACTTGCGACCTGGCCGGGCCGCCGCGATGGCCGACGCCACGGGGCACTGCGCACATCCTTCCAGTAGGCGCGCGCACCGTTGGGACCAAACACGGAAGGTTTCGGTGGGGATCGCTCGAAACAAAATAATTGGTTATTTTCTTTTGTTTTAACATGTGGTTCTCGCCTGCGGCTCGCCGAGACGCGCGCGCACGCGTGACTCCCAGCTCGGGGCCGTGCAGCATGCCTTTTTCAACATAGATATGCCGCTGCCTTTTCTCAGTGTTCAATGGTGTAAACACCGCCCCGACCCCGATGATCGGCGTTTACTACATGGCTCCAGGCGTGTATTAAACAGCCCTGTCATGTTCGATTCCTTTCTTGGGTGCGTTTACGAAACAGCTTCGCTCGTCGGAGTGCCCATTGTGATGGTGCGTTTTCTGTCCGCAAAAAATGAGCCCCGATCGCTTTAGGCACCGCCGGGTTTTGCGCCCAGAGGTGCGAATCACACGAAATCGGTGCGCAGCCGTTTCGCGGTCGGAGAGGGCGGCTCTTTCTCGGAACGGGGCGCCGACGCCAGGCACCTCCCCTGGAGCCGGACGTTTGGGACAGGGGTCGACCTAAGCAGAGTTTGAGCGATTTCGTGGACATTTTTCGTTTTGATTTCGTTTTGCAGCACAGGCGGAACGAAGGCAGGACGATAGAAAACGATAACACAATGAACGCGGAAAACATGGTTCAGGTCGGGCCTTGGTCAGGGACCCCACGTGGTCGGATTTTCGACAGCTCGAAGCACGGATGCCCTTCGAACGTTGAAACGAGGCATTTTTGGTTGCCCTGGTCCCGATGTGTTTCAGGCGCCTTCGTACTTCAAGAGTCGAGTGGCGTTCCCTTTTTTTCCATCCCTTCCAAGGGTCGCGCGGGAGCCTAATCTACTACTAACGCCTTCCAACCTCACGCTTCCACCCAGGAGGAGGAGCAGGAGGAAAAAGAGGAGGAAAACGAGGAGGAGGGGGAGGAGGAAGAGGAGGAGGAGAGGGACGTCTTCCGACTGACGGGTACTTTGTTTCCGGTATTTTCTTCCGAACGCGGAAGGCCCGCCAGACTCGCGGGCCCACGTGGCGCTCGTCTTGTGTGGGCGCTCGACGCAATGATGGATATCGTTTGTGACGACGAGCGGGGATGGGGACCTGGAGCGGGCGGGTGTGTTGAAGCATCGTTGGTGCATGTTTGATTTACACTGTTCCTCTTTTCCTCCTGATCCTCCTCCCTCGTTCTTCTGCGCTTGCCTCGTCTTCCTTCGTCGTCGTCCTCCTGCTCATCTGCTCGCGTCCTCCTCCATTTTCCCCCCCCATCTCTCCTCCGTCCCCTTTGCGCACCCCCTCCGCTTTTCCTTCCTTTTCCCTTACCCCGAGGAAGCCGCTTAAGCTGGAGTTCGGCAACCTCACGGAGAAAAACGTCGGGCAATTGAGGAAGCTGAACACGGCCACGTTCCCTGTCGTCTACAAGGACCAGTTCTACCAGGACCTGTTGCAGCAGCGTGTGCGCCTTCCTCGTGTTCCTCTCGTCCTCTTCCTGCTCTGCTGGTTTGATTTCCGCTCCCCATCCCACGACCCTCCCCGGCACCCCTCCCGCACTCGAGCGGTAGGTTATCATGTTTTGCCTGCTTTTCACCTTGTCCTTGCCGGCGCATAAGAAGGGGTGCTTCTTGTGGCTGTTTGGCTCAAGGTTGCAATTTCCGCGCCCGCTTTACATAGTAAGAGTCGCCTTACATCGCTTCACATTCCTGTACAGAAAAACCCGTCTTGATTTTCCGACACCTCCTATTTGGGAGCGGAGCAAGTTCGCCCCTGCTCCAATACCATGACCGCCGTGCCCCACCTCGCCTTGATGGCCATGGCTCCCATCCTCCGTCGCTCTATCTCGCGACCCCCGCAACATACTTCATGTATGGGTACGTCAAAGCTGAACCAACCCATCCGCAGAAACACTGCTCTGTGCCATTCAACATTCCTCGCTACATGCCGCCCTTCGTCCCGCTGTACATCCGCCTTCATATCGCCTTCTTGCACCTTTTTACGTCCACTGCGGCAGGAGACGTTACTCGAGGGTCCGTCGGGGCATCCACCCATCCGCCAGGACCAGTGGCCGACAACGTGCACAACCAGTATTTCCTCAAGGACAACACCACCAAAATCTACTAGGACTGCTCTGCGTTTCATCTTGGGCATGCTCGGAGTGTGACCAGCCTGCTCGCTGACCCCAATCAGTCACTGCCCCTGCCCATGGGGGTAGCTCCAAGTATTGGACAGTTGCCCGACACAGCGTTCGCATCTGCCGTGTCAAAACCAGTTCCCGAGCCTTTTCGGGGCTGTGTCCGCAGAGCCTTGGGAAAAGCAAGCAGCGCAGAGGCATCTTGTGTCTGCGTCGCCAGTGCCGAGCGGGGATGCAGTGGGGAGCGCTGGAACTGCGCATTCAGTCCCCCCAGCGCCATCGCTTCGAGTCGCCACACCTCGGGGCCCGACCTTTCGTTGCACCCATTCATTCCCGCCAACCGGGCAGGACGGGATCCCGATGCGCGCCCATCTAGACGATCGTGAATGTGGCGGCGTTCAGCGCAGTGGCCGCACGACGTACGAAGAGCAGTTCCGTGACTGCGTCGCGGGATGCTCCGAGCGCCGCGGGCATTCCAGCGACGCGGCAGTAGCGTATCCCCAATGCGTTGACGAGGGGGCAAGTATCCTCGGCGGCTCATGCAACATCGCTCGAGGACCCCCGGCCTCCAGCACCTCTACGACATGTTGAGGCAGCTACATTCCAGATGGAAGGCCATCGGGGTCGGCATTGTCGCCATCGCGAGCTGCGTCGCCTGCATGGGCGGCGGCGGCGGCATCGGCAGCATGCGTCACCTCCGCAGCTGGGGCCCCGAACGCCAAGACTCTCGCGCCCTCCCAGACGTGGGCGCCAGAAGCGATGATCTGGTCAGTGGCGAGCTTTGACCTCGTGTCGCCAGGCGGCCTACGTTTCGCCCTGTCTTACCGGCATGGCGCTCGAGTGCGTGGACAAATGGCCGCCGGTTGTCCTGATCCAGGGAAGACTCATCCACGGCAGCCCAGTGCCACCGATGACCTTCCTAATGCACAGCTTGGCCACACAATGAGGCCACCTGGGCGAGGAGCAGCGAGCCTCGGCAGTATCGGCCCTGATGAAAATCACCCGACTGCCGCAGGAACGCATCGACCGCCTCTTGACGAGGTTTGACATCCTCCTCGACCGGGCCCAGCAAGCATGTCAAGCCATGATCGGCTACGAGGGGCTCTGCTTCCTCTTGCTGCGCGCCGTTGGCGTGTCGAACGCTCAATTCACCGTGCTGCCACAGCACTACATGGCCTAATCCACGAACGCTCAGCAGCTCGCCCAGATGACTGGCTTGCCGAGGCGTTTCGAGCAATTGATAGAGGAATCGCCAGGCAACCTTTCATCGGCGGTCCGCGCTGCCCATCGGCGCGCGTTCCTCACGGGCACGCCCACGCAGGAGCAGAGCTGCGACGGCATGGGCCCTGCTTCGCTGGGATCGGCACCGAGCCCCCCTGCGCCAGCCGAGGCCGTGTCTGGAGGCTGTGGCCCCAGCGCGGCACCACCCGTGCAGGGGGCGCGAGACTTTCGCGCGTTTCGGGGGGTGCAAAGGCAAGGGGGGGGGGGGGTCATGGCCATGGAATGCGAGTTCAAGCATCAACCATCCTCGATCGGGAACGCGTGGATGGGGGGTCCGCATTAGCTTCGTCGCGGGACATGCGCCATTCTCGAGTGGGCACGATAGAAAAGGGGGAATTCTTGACGCTTCGCGTATCCCCACCAGCTGGTGGCTGACCTCTCGGACTCCCTGGGTTTGCCGTTTGCACGTTTCCTCTCAGGCTGTCCTTGCAGACTCCCTGGGTCGCACGCCCGCTGCCCTCCCAGACGCCCTGGGTTGCCGCCGCTCGCCGCCTGATCCGCGGCTCCGCGCGCGCCCGCAATTTAGTCGCGGCCGCAGCCCGACCGTGGCCGCTCGCCGTCGGCGCCTCCGCCCGCGGCTGTAAAAAAAGTATCCCCGCCAGCCCCTCAGACTCCCTGGGTTGCTGTTTGCACGACCGCCTGGCCTCTCAGACGCCCTGGGTTGCTACCCCCCCCCCCGCCGCCTGATCCGCGGCCCCCGCGCGCGCCCGGGAATTCGTCGCGGCCGCAGCCCGACCGCGAGTGCTCGCCGCCGGCGCTTCCGCATGCGGCTGTTAAAAAATATCCCCACCAGCCATCTACGGGGGCCAGATCCCCAAGAACGGGCACCCCCCACGCATTCCGCGGGACGGCCATAGAGCTGCAGCAGCCAATGCCATCGCGCAGCTGGTTGGGAGGAATGAGAAGTTCCAGGAGACCTGGCGCTCCTTCTCTGCCGCGCTCGACTGCCAAAGAGGGCAAGACCCCCGACGGCAGCCGTTGGATACGCTGCGCCGCTCCTTATCCCTTAGGGAGGGCGATCTCGCGGGGGGAACGCTGGAGTTCCTCGCTGGCGAGCGCAGCGCCAGGGGCAGCAACGACGCCGGAGACCGCTCCCCCGCCGCTGCCTGGCACGAGCGCCCACCAGCCTTGGACGGCCGCACCCCTGGCGACGACCTCCGCCAGCAGCCCCCAGGAGCCACGAAAGCGACCAAGGAGATAAAGGAGGAACCATCCCCTGGCTGGGGCTCCCACGGCAACGGCGACAATCCGTTCGAGGTAGACTGGGATGAGGACAATCCAGAGAGGACCGCCTCCATGGTCGACAGCCCCCCGCAGCAGCCCGAGGAAACCGAAACCAACGGCCCCAGCGACAGAGGCGGCTCCCACAGGCGGACAGTGCTGTGGACAGCCCCCCCCGACAAGGAGGAAGCGGCCACTTGGGCGCCATGCGCGACGGCCCGCTTCCGAGAGGACATGGGAGAAGTCCGTGACAACAGGAAACTAAGAGGGAAAGGGAGCAAGCCAGCCCTGCGGACCCAGCCTGTCCACGCCCCGTTGAATGCGCCTCCGAGTGTCTTCTGTAGTCTGGTGATTCTCTCTTGGGCTGGCTCATCCCACTGGATGTCGGCGTCGTCGATGGACCTCGTGTGCATGGGGGGCCCTCCCAGGGGGCCGTCTTGACGTGGAGGTGGGGGTGGCTCTGCCTGTGGGCGCGGCCGTCTCCCTGGGCTGCTGTCCTGCCGGGGGCTGGGCGTCGGGCGGGTCTCGTGCGCTGGAGCTGCAAGGGCTGCCTTGGGTCGACATCCATTCGGACCCCAAGAGGAACACAAGGGAGCTGTGCGAAGAATTCCTGCGGGCGTGGGAAGCTGCGGGCTACGACGCCAATAAGTTGGTGAGGCACCGCCATCTCCGGGTGGAATGGCAAAAGGTCACCGAGAAATATCGTAGCCTACTACATCGCAGCGCAAGGGCCAGCGCACCCAAGGGGCAAGACAGCAAGGGCCACCCATGCCCTTGGTCCGACAGCAGCAGGACAGTACCCACCGACCCCGTCCCACCCGACAGGGCAAGCCACCGCGAACAGACCCAGTCCTCTAGCACACACAGCGGGGCTTTGCAGCAGCACCCGCGGAGCAAGCCCAGAGCCGGCGCAGCCGCCCCGCCAGCGCGCACCGACTACAGGGAGACCACCTGGTCGGGAGCATCCAGCTCTGGCGCCCCATGGCGCCCAAGGGCGCGCTGGGAAGGGTGGGGCCACCAGGATAGTTCATGGGGGGGGCGACGCGGGGGAACAGGGAGAAAAGGACCGCCCCGAAAAGCGACGAGCAATGCGCCGACAAGCGGCAGCGCGGAAGAGAACTCGCGCGCTGGTAGCCCGGCAGCTGGCCCGGCAGGGCCCCCCCGACTAGGGCAGGGCCGACGCTACCAACAGCCGCCAAGGCGCACGGCGTTGGGCTTCTGAGACAACGAGTGACCCGGACCCCCTTCGCGGAAGACTTGCCGCGCACGTGTGCCGTGGGACTGTCCTCCCCTAGGACGGTCCCACCTCAGACGATGTCCTGCGGCTCAGGCCGCTCGCCTCAACCTCTCGCTTCACTTTCCAGTTCCGCGGCTATCGGCTGCGCTCTCCATCCCTCGTCGCCACGTGCTATCTGTTGTCCTGCGGCTATCGGCTGCTGACCCCCTTCCTCGTCGCCACTGCTTCTACACTCAAGACTGCGGCTATCGGCTGCTAACCCCCCTTCCTCGTCGCCACAGGGGAGCGACTTCCGCTGGGCCCCAGCTCACTGGGAAGATGAGTTGCGGTGGGCCCGATGGCCACTGGGTTCCCACCATGCGGCCACACCTGTCGACACAGCCAGCGACAGGACGTGTTTCACCGAAGCAGTGGGCCACGGGGGCGGACTGATGTTACCTCGCGGGGTTGAGGTACCCCCCCACCGCCGCGATAGTTCCTGCGTTCTCGTGGGCCTTTAGCCCGCGCGGCCGGCTGAAATAGCCCCGTCGTCGGTTTGGCCGCATTCGCGGCCCGTGGTGCTCCGAGAAGGCTCGCTCAAGGCGCTTTCTCCCGCTCTCGGCACGCTCCACTCAGTCACTTTGCCCGCGCCGCGTGCGGGCGGGGACGTATCGGACGCCGGCCTCGGCCCCTCCATGTGCCCCATCCTTTGGAGTCGGCAACGTGCGTGACTTCCACGTCGTCGCTCGCAGGAGCGGCTATCACCTCTGACCCCCCTTACGCATGGGCGCGTAGACAGTGCGGTCGGCAGTTTTGGACTCATAGCTTGGCCGCTTGCCGGCCCGCGGCGGACACGGTCGTCGGCCAAAGGCACCGCCGTGACGCTTGTGCTAGACGTTGGCCCCTGCCACAGTTGGGCCTTCTGGGAGCGGAGGCTCCACGCCGCCTTGGTGCCTGCGGCCATCGCTGGCGCCCTCTCCTGTGGTTGGCTGGCGCCCTCCAGGCGTTGGCCCGAACCCTCTCGGTGGCTTACACACTGGCCCACGCCCTGGGAGGCAAGTGAGTGGTTTTGGCACGCTTCCGCCTGGCAGTCGGTACTCCACCTGCGGGTCCGACTTGTTTTTGCCCGCCCCCCTTCTGCTGGCACACGCTCAGCGGCTTTCGCGGTCCGCATGGTGGCACCTGGGCTTCAGCTGTTGCCTTCGCGGTTGTTTTCTTTTGCTGACGCATGCTCAGCGGCGCGAGTTATCTGCAGGTGCACTCTGCGCGATGTCGCGCCATTTATCTGTCGCTGTGCCCCAGCCTCGGTCACTCCGCCCTCTGGACTTCTCCTTGCGGGCCGCGAATCAAAAAGTATCCCCACCAGCCCATCCATAATTGATTGCCCGTTTTCTTGGGGCCTCTTGGAGGCTATCTTGAACCATGCTCGACTAGAGGCTTCCGGAGGCTATTTTGAGCCATGCTCGGCTATCTTGGGCCATCTTGAAGCTGCCTTGAGGCCTCTTGGCGGTCTGCCGGAGGCTATCTTGAGCCATGCTTGGCCATCTGAAGCCATTTTGAAAACCAGATTTGCCTATCTAGGGCTCTTGGAGCCATATTGGGCCAAACAGGCGGGGTGGAGGGTCTTTGGGGAGAGGCTGGGAGGCCTCTTGGGGTCATCTTGGGCCCCATGGTTCAAAAAAGGGAGGTCTGGGAGCCCTCTTGGGGCTCTTCGGGGGGTCTGGGAGGCCTCTTGGGGCCGTTTTGGGCACCGCGCTTCAAAAAGAGGGGGGAGCAATTCCCCCCCCCCCTCGGAGGCTCTCAAACGGCATCTTGGGGCCCTCTTGGAGCGCTCTTGGGCGCCGTTTGGGCGATCTTGGGGCCGTCTTCGGCCTTTTTGGGCTCCAATTGGGCCTCTTTTGGGCCATCTGGGCACTCGTGGAAAAGGGAACGTCATGCATTAGCTGCCATGCGGGAAGTGCACCACGTCAGCGGATACGGGTGGAAGGCTGGCGGCTGGCATTCGCGACCGCGCAGGAAGGTCACCTTCCTCGAGCGGGCGCTCGTCGAAGGGGGGTTAGGCATTAGTTGCCGTGCGGGACGTGCAACGCCTTAGCGGGCACGCGTAGACCATCCTCGAGCGGGCACGCGTGGAAAGGGGGAGTTACGCATTAGCTGCCATGCGGGAAGTGTACCATCCTCGAGCGGGCAGGCGTGGAATGGGGGAGTTAGGCATTATCTGCCATGCTGGAAGTGCACCTTCCTCGAGCGGGCGCGAGGAAACTGGCCTCTGCGAGTAGGGTGGATGCACGCTGCTTGTAGAGTGAGGGTGGTCCGTTGTTCGGGTTCAAAAACCCCACCAAGCAAACCTTTGCATCCTTCCACGCCCCAGCGTCCGAGGGAAAACGGTGGTGGGCGTCCTCCTATCCGTCCTTGCCTCAGGGCCTCTCGTCCTCCTGTTCTTTGTCGGCCTCCCTCTTTCCCTTTTTTCTGCTCCTCCGTCCCCGTTTCACTGCTTATCCCATCCTCGTCCTCCTCCATCATCTTCCCCACCCCAGAAACAAATCAACCTTGGGCCTGTCCGCCAGCGGGTTCCGGCGAGAATTCCAGAACAGTTCCAATTGTGCCCCCCGGAAATGGGAGAGTTTTCAACCAATTGGGACGGATTACAACCATGTCGGTCCCAATCACAACCAACTCCGACCAGCTACAACCACTTCCCAAGCTTTTGAGAGGTTCTTGAAGGTTTTCTTCGAGAGGCTCCCTAGAGGCTCCTTCGCGACGCGGCCGCCGCCGCGTCGCGGGCGCTGTTGGGCGCTAGGGGCGGCGCCCCAGAGTCTGTCCATGGTATCACTTTCTATTTGGGACCCATGTTGTTTCCCAGAACGAATGTGTACACTGAAGACGTTCTTTTGATGCTTGGATCGTCTCCGAATGTTTTGCACAAGGAATCCGAGTGTAGGCCCGAAATGGCCGGTTGTAATCGGTACCAGTTGGTGTTTGGGCCGACTGATGAGTCCCAGTCCGTTGTAATTGGCCCCAGTCGGTTGGGATTTGTCCGACACGCAACCAGTGCCCCCCCGCTTCCCGAAGGCCCATAAGAGCAGGAGGAGGAGGAACAAAAAAAAAGAGCAGGAGGAGGCGGAGGACTCTCCCCCGTGCCCTCCTCCCTCTTGGGGTGCCCAGAAGGCATGGGCAGAACAATCGTGTCCGCACTCGTCTTTCTCGTCATCCTTCCCTCTTTGCAATCCTTCGTTTGTTTTGCAATCCTTGGGTTTTTTTTGCAATCCTTCGGGTTTTGTTTTGCAATCCTTCGGTTTTTTTGCAATCCTTCGGGTTTGTTTGCAATCCTTCGGTTTTTTTTGTCCAATCCTTCGGGTTGTTTTGCAATCCTTCGGTTTTTTTTGCAATCCTTCGGGTTTTGTTGCAATCCTTCGTTTTTTTGCAGTCCTCTTTTCTTCTGTCCTTACTCTCGCCTGATTGCATTATGTCGTGGGCTCGCCCTTCTGCATAGAGGCTCTGCTGACAGGCTGAGCCTGCACCCTGCTTGCACGGCCTGCCCTGGGCGAGTGGCACGGCTGTGGGTGCCAGCGACAGTTGGCAGGTCGATGTAAACCACCCAGACTGGATGCCTCCATCTGGAGTTGGTTTGTTGCTCGTTCCTTTGTCTTCTCCCCCGTCATCCCTCGGGCCGTGCCAGGACTTATTGCAGAAGCACCTGGCCTTCTCCCAGCTCGGGTACTTCGCCGAGGTGCTGGTGGCCTCTATTTGCTGCAGGCTTTCGGGGGAGTGGGAGGAGGAGGAAGGGGAGGGGGAGGGGATGGGGGAGGAGGAAAAGGAGGACGAGGAGGAGGAGGAGGAGGAGGAGGAGAGGAGGAGGAGGAGGGGGAGGAGGGGGAGAAGGGGGAAGGGCGATGGTAGGGGATTCGAACCTCCTGGGGGTTGTAACGGCCTTCGGGCGGAGAGGGAAGAATGAGTGCAGGATAAGGATTGTGAAGGAGGTGGAGGAGGTGGAGGTCGACGAAAAACGATAGGACTTAAGGTGGAAGTACAGGAGGAGTGGGAGGGGACAGACCTCCTGATTATGAACGAATGCCAGTAGCTCGTCGTACTAGCTCTACCGAGCGACAGCACCGCGGAGGAAGGATGGAGGAACATGAAGAAGAGGAGGAGAAGGAGGAGGAGGAGGAGGCGGAGGCAGATTGGCAAAGAAGATACCCACAACGAGGAGGAGGGTGTGTGGGAGTAATGGCGGAAAAGAAGGGTACCCCTCCATTCTTCCCGCTCCTTCTCTGTCTTCGTCTTCCATCCTCCCTCGCCTCTGCTTCAGGCTTGAGGACAGAAAAGACAATGGTGGAAAGTCGCTGTACATCATGACGCTTTCCGTCCTGAAGCCGTACAGACACCGCGGGATGGCCAGCCAGCTCATGAAGTGGGCGATAGACAAGGCTCAGACGACGGCCACCACGCTGACCACGACGACGAGGACGACGACGACGACCCCGATGACGACCGTCACGGCGCCGACGATACCGCCGCCGCCGCCGCTGCCGCCTCCGATGACGACGACGACGTCGACGACGACCAAGGCGCAGGGCGACGAGGGAAAGGCCGCCGACGTGCGGGAAATTTACCTGCACGTGCAGACCTCAAACTCCGGCGCGCTGTCCTTCTACAAGTCCTTCGCCTTCGAGGTCGTGGACGAGCTGAAGGCGGCGCGCTACTCCCCCCCCTACAGGACCCGCCTCCTTCCATTGGCTGTCACCTCCCGTGGGGGCGGCGCTCGCCCGGCAGCTGTGAGCTCTGTGCCTCGCGCCTTCGGCGAAGACCGAGCCGAATATCTTCCCGTGTCGCTTTCCGTGCAGGAGGATCTGGGGAGCGCATGCTCTGCTGACCACCTCTCTGCGAGATGCCGAAGCATTCTTGGCTTCTGGGATTGGGCCACTTGGGTTGCACCAGCGTCTCAGGGCTCGAGGGCCGAACTCCCTTAACAGAAGATGCGGCTGTGTGCCGTTCGATATCCACGGCGTGCCTCGAAGGGCAGTGTTTGGAGGCCTGCCAGGAGCCTTGCAGTCTTCGGGCAGGGCCGAGCGCGTGGTCAGCTTGAGGGTGGCGCAGCTCTTACCACACGCGTCTCATGGTCCGTGATCCCGATGGCTTTGTGCAGGGAGTAAGGGAATGGTGCCCCCATCTTGCTTCGTCCACTTATGCGGTCTCTGTTCGGTGCTGGCCAGAATAAGCGAGGCTCAATTTCGTGTGGGTCCCATCGTATCTTTCGAATTCAGGCGCGCAGGGAACATGTGTTCCTTTGAGAGGCATGCCAGGCAAGGCGTGGTTCTACTGATTTGCCCATCTGGGAGCTCTCCCCCCGTGCGTTGCCAACGAAGTAGATTGACGGCTCGGATTCCCCGATCGGCGATGCAGAGTCTCAGGCGCGAGTCCTCGGAATCGCCGTGACCGGGATAGCTGAGCTTGGTCGTTGGCTGGGGCCGGCCGCCTGCTGGGCCGAGACCGGCCTTGCTCAGCCTCTGCGAGCATTCGTTCGCGCGTTTTCCCGACACGCTTCCCCGACACTGGGTGAGGTGCGACGCAAGGAGTGCCAATCGTTCGCATTGAGTGTGCGAGCCTGCGCCAGCTTCCCCGCCACTGCCAAAAATCTGGCCGCTGCTCCCGCCTCCGCACCGCTCGGTGCTGTGCCTTCTCCTCGGGTGCGCCGCGGTACGTCGTTCGCGGTGTCCCACCGTGCCCCTCGCCAGCTCCACCCGCTGGCTGCCGCTCCCCGCCACCCTTGCCACCGTGGTTCGCCACGGCCGCCCACCGCGCTCTGGCCCTGCGCGCCTGGCTGCTGCTGCACCCCCCGGCTGCTCTCCAACTCTTCGGCGTATGAGCGTCCCGTCTTCCTCTCGGCCGTCCCCCCCCCCCCCCCCTCTTTGCTCGCCGGCCAATTCGCTAGTTAGTGTCCCTATCTAGTTTCTCGCTGGAGCGGAGTTCGCCGCCTCGCCGCTAACGAAAAATTAGTGTGAGACTGCGCCCGAGAGAAGGCTTGGAGCTGCCCTGAGTCTGGAGGGTGCCATGAGGAGAGGGCGCTTCTTCCAAGAGGAGGCGGACCCCTCGGTGGGTCTTGCAGTCCTCGCTGCTGGTGCTCTCGATATCGATACGGGGAGGTTGGTTCGGTTGAGCCCCCGCCCCCCGCGATTGCGCCTCAGTGGCCACCCCTCATCGACTTGAGGTTGGGCATGTTTTTGCCCTTTGTCGTGCCTCTAAATTCCGGCTGCCTTGCACTGTCGTGTCGCAGGATCAGTAGTTGTGCGAGGCATGCGTCGTAGGCGTGGTTTTCCATGGCGCTGTCGGTGACCACCCCTGGGATCAGCGCCTCGCATCCAGGCTGCTCATAAGAGGGATGGTCCGCTGGTCGCTGCCGGAGGCCGCTAGCCAGCGACAGAAAACACTTTCCGATGCAATTGGTTTCGATACAATAAGTCCTTTCCGATGCACTGGTTCGGCGGCGGCGACCGCGATGACGGAAAGACCGCTGCCAGTGGTCCCATTCCATCTGAGGCGTTCCGGACGAGGATCGAAGGAGTTGTCATCTCTTCCTCGGCAAAAGCCGGCGGAAGGCGCTAGAAGTACAAAGAAGGAGACACCGCCGACGGAAGCCGGTGGAAAGCCAACGGAAGCCAGTGGAAAGAAAATATGCGGTTTCAAGAGATGGCATCATTTTTGGTTTCAGGGGTTCTGGAACCCGCCATCTCGATTCTTCGACTGCCTCCTCTTCACCCTCCTCGGTCGCAGGGGGGGCACTGTGAGATCCCGCCGCGTGCCTTTGGGCAGCTGCGTGCGGGAAACTCTGCGCCCCGTGCAACGTAGCGCCGCGCGCCGTTCCCATGGTTTTGTCCGAAAATTTGATCGTGCGGAACCCCCCCAGCAACCGCGCCGGCTCCCATTCAGGCGACTGGGACCGCCGTGGCCTCTGCAGCTGTGGCCTCCTCCCTCCTTCCGACTTGTTGGGCCTCGACCCGCGCTGCAGCAGCTGGACCCACCCCTGGGTGCGTTCGTGATGCCGTCCCGCCCGCGCCCGCTGCCAGGGGCTGCTGCACCAGCTCGGCCGCCCCGCGCGCCCCGCTGCGGCTTCGCCGCGTGAGTGCGCCTTCCCATCCGTAGGCCTCCCGCTCCGCTCTCCCCCCCTCCTCTTGCATGCGGGACACTTCGCAATGCCGTGGCCTTGGTTTCGTGGACGCGCGTGCGGACTGCCTCTGCCGCGGTGCGGCGCAACAGGGTGTCTATACAGACAGCTGCATCCATGTGAGAGGCGTAAAACAACGGGTTCGTCTGCGCCGACATTGGTGCGTAAGTTGCCCGCGTGAGGTCGCGCCCAAGCGCCCTCGTTTCCCATGTGGCGTGCCGCGCGGGCGGCCCGCGCAAGCCGACGCGTTTGGTCGTTACGGCATCTCGAGTAAGGCCCGCTTCTTTTCGTCGCACATGTTACCAGGCATCTCAAGTAAGGTCGTTACGCCATCTCGAGTCGGATAGATAAGCAAACAATGCCAGGCAGCATAACGTCGACAAGGATCTCGGAGCTCGCGATCTCGCAGGGGTTCCCGCGCGCGCGCTCCGAGGCCTACTACAAGGACCTCGACCCGCCGGACTGCTACGTGCTGCGCAGGGCGGTCGCCGTTGGGGGCAGCGGCGACGCGCAGGAGGCGGCGGCCGTAGCTGCCTCGATACGCCCGTTGTGATACGCAACACGTGCCGCACTCAAAACGTCTGAGTCAATACGCGGCGTGTTGGTTCAGGGTATTGGCCCACGTAATATCGAAGGTATTGCGTCCGACCTACGTTTTCAGCCTACTTGCTGAGCTCCGTATCGGTACGCTATGTGTTGCGTGTTGCGCATCGGGGCAGCCGAGGCGGCGGCTGAGCAGACGGTCGCCGATGGCACCTGAGGGCACTTTGCGCAGTAGGTTCTCTTCCGCCGTCGAGGTTGGAGGCTCGAGGGCGAATGTTCGAGGATCGAGGCTTGAGAATCGAGGTTCGAGGTTCGGTTGTTGGTGTTCGAGGTTCGATGCTCGAGGGTACGAGGAGCGAGCGTCGCTGTTCGAGCATTGAGCGTCGATGTTCGGAAGACGAGGTTCCAGGAGCGAGGACCCAGGTTCGATGATCGAGTCCATAGGTTCGAGGATCGAGGATTGAGCGTCGATGTCCGAGGGCTAGGGCTTCAGGATCGAGATGCGAGCATCGAGGACCGAGGCTCCAGGTTCGACGATCGAGCATGGATGCTCGAGGTGCGAGGATCGAGCACTGAGACTGGAGGATCGAGGTCCAAGGTCCGAGGTTCGAGGGTGGAGGGCCGAGGATCGATTTTTTTGGGGGGGGATCGAGATTCGATGGGTCAGTCTGAAGGATCGATGGTCGATCTTCGAGGATCGACGCTCGCGGTCCGACGGTCTGGAATCGAGGATCGGGGACCGAGCATCGAGGATCAAGGCCCGGGTTCCAAGTATCGAGGTACGAATATCGATGTCTGGATCCATGTTCGAGGTACCATCGAATATCAAGGCTCGATGATCGACAATCGAGGTTCGACGTTCGCGAATCGAGGGCCGAGATTCTGGGATCGAGGCTTGATCTTCGCGGATCGAGGTTCAAGGATCGCGAACAAAGATTCGAGGATCGAGGATCGAAGATCGAGTTTCGAGGATCGGGGACCGAAAGTCGTTTCGTATACGTGTCTGACCCTTCCTGGGACCCTGGAATCTTCCCTCCCGAGTCCTCCAGGCATCCAGGGGGCTCGGGGCTCGGAGAGGAGAAGGTGTGTGGGAAGAGGGGGATGGGGAGGGGAAGGGAGGTGACGGGCCTGGCTGCCACCACCACCACCATATAAGTTTGGGGGGGAAGGAGGAGGAGGGGGAGGAGGAGGAGGAGGAGGAGGAGGAGGAGGAGGAGGAGGAGGAGGAGGGGAGGAGGACGAGGACCCCCTCCCCCTCCTACTTCGTCATCGCGGTCGTCACTGTCGCCGTTCGTCGTGACCTTCATCCCTGAATTCCCCCGGAATCAGTTGCTTCCAAGGATCAAAGCGGCAAGTGCGGTGGCTGCGACGCGCGCCGCTCGAGGTGGTTCAATGGCCACAATGCGTATGGTTTGGGTGCGCGCTGCATTGATGCTTGCCTTCAGCATGCACTGTTGTTTCACGAGTGCTTGCTACTTGCCTGCCCCGCAGACCTTACGAGCCACCCTCAGGCGCGCCAGGGATGGGATACTGGTGTCTCAAGATCCAGCACCCTGTCCCCCCAGCATCATCATCATCATCATCATCATCATCACCATCATCACCATCATCAAACGAGCTTGAGTTCTTCATGGGCAACTATTATGATCGTATATCTGAATATATCGCCACCGCCAGCGGGCTTTCGAAGTACACGTTGGCGGCGCCGCATCTTTTCCACGACGCCATCAACTTTGTGTGGGCCATTGACGATTTATTTAAGCTACTGGCCCTCCCCCCCGAGGCGACAACAGACGATATCCGCGACATTGGCAAACCTCGACGCTGAATGTTTGGATACAAGTGGCGAACCGAAAGAGTACAAGCAGAATCGCACGAAGGCCGAGATCGTCGTCGCTGCATCCTGGCGAGGCATTGCGCACGAGCTCGCTAGGGATCGCCGTCTAGTCGGCAAGTTGATGCCTGAACTGAAGCACCTCGGCGGTATGTTCTCTGCCCTGGGAGTAACGTTGCTGAACGACGCGAGCGACTCTTTGCCATCAATGGAGCTAGGAATCACTTGAGTTGATTCTGGCATTCTGACGCAGGATGGAGACCTAAACGATTGTTACTCGGCGTACACAGCGCGGCCACCTCTGGCGGAGAAAGCTACTTGTATACTAAGACTGACATACGGCGTTCGACTCCAGCCTTGACGGGAAGTTTCGCTCCATGCTCCAGGGCCGCGCGCACTCCGAGGCTACCGGTATTCATCGGTCCTGGCCTTCCTCAACGTCTGGCGATATTGGAAGTTTACACCTGTCGCGCTGGAGCTCACTGTACGCCGGCTCTGCTGGTGGCGCGACATACTCACGGACATTCCACAGCACATTCATTTCTTGGTTGGTTTTTGTCGGCGATCCGGCGCTTGAGTGTGCAGACGGCGTGATCAACGTGAACGCACCCATTCACCCTTGGGCGAAACAGTTATACACGGACATCGAGATTGTTCTCACGATCGACTTGGCGACAGAGCTGCGTGACGCGTGGCATCTAAGGAACATCAAGAGGCTTCTGGAAGACGAGCAGCTCCGTGACAAGTACACTGCGGTAGATCCGCGCAGTTTGCGGGTTGTTTTTTCTATCAGACGTGGCACCCAAACGGTACGACGCTCGAGGGTCAGATGCCAGTGGAGGGAGAGATCACGGGGATCGATGGCGACAAGCTTCACACGTGCGAGATAAAGTTGAGGACGACTTGCAATGTGGTCGGACCTTCACTACTCTGGCTGCGCTACGTGCCCATCAGATTCACAGAAAGGAGCCCATCCATCAGATGCGCGGTGTACTCAGTCTACTGGTCGTGGACAACAGATGCTTGATATGCCAGACGGTATTTCGCAGTCGAGATCATTGTGCACGTCACCTTTTTCGCGGGTGGTCAGCCCGTCGCTGCGTGCGCCAGAACACGGTGCAGCTGTGGCAGCACAGGCTTCCCGACTGCTTTGAGTGCCCGATCTGCAAAGAAGCTCCACGCTTTCCTCCCCCTCCCCTTGGGGCCCCCGGGGGAGCGGCGCAAGCAGCGCCTGCAAGAGCGAGCCAGACTGCAGCAGGCCGTTCTGCCGCGCAACGCTCATCACTAGCAGCAGCAAGTACCTCACCGCCATCACAAAAAAGCGTAATCACAAACGGCAGGAGTGGTACAAGTAGCACCTACAAGAGCGAGTCAGACTGCAGCAAGCCGCATTGCGAGCAAACGCTCATCACCAGCAGCAGCAAGTAGTCCACCACCATTACTATCAGAGTCATCCCATACGGCAGGCGATTCTATTTCATCTACGCCGCCCGCCACACATAATACAGCCAAACCAGTGCCGCAGCAAGCAGCTCTAGTTCAACCCAAGTTAGCAGCATTACCGACATCTGCTCCGACACGTGCACGAATCCGCAGCAAGACTACACCGAGCCGAGCCCAGCCTTCAGCGACGCCATCATCACCGTCGCCATCTCTGCTAGCACTTGGCTCCACCGAGGCTCTCCGCACCCATCTTCGCTTTCATGTACTTGTGCATGTTTCGGCGCGACCGTGGATTGCGCGAGAGCTACGAAAAGTTGTTACCAGGCCGAAGCTGGGAGCGCGCCTGCCAACTTCTGCTGCGGGGGTGTCGTCAGCTCGTGCCCCACCTCGGCCTCGTGAGGCAGTATTCTCATCGGCTTCGGGTTCTGATGCGGCCAGCGCGGCGCCCGCTAGCATCTTCGCCAGCGTCTGGGAGTGGTGGGGCCGTCGCGGTCGGAGACAAACGGGGCCCCCCCCCCCCCCCGCCCCCCCCCCCCCCCCCCCCCCTCCCCCAGGCGGGGCAACGTCGGCACCGCGGACGACGCGACGCGGAGGCAAAAGGCGCAACAAGGGCGAGCAGGAGACACCGAAAGCCGAAAGTGATCCAGGTCGCAGACAAAAGGACTGAGAGATCCCCTGCTATTGATACTCAAACAGACGTTGAGCACCACGCAGAAGGTTCGAATGATGGAGGGCATCATGCTGGACTCGTTCATCTTCCCGAAGAATCGCAAGCTCGTCCAGGCACTTCAGGAGGAGCAGGAGTATTTCGCCCAGCGAGTGGAGGATTTTCGGAAGGAAAAGGAGAATAACCCCATGGCCGAGCCCCTCGGCCCACCTCGCGCGCTGCCGTTCGCGGCGCTGGTCGAGGTGGCGCCCCCCCTCAAGGCCTGCGGCGGCGACAACGCGAAGAAGATCCAGAGCCTGGTCCAGGACATCAACCATTGCGAGAAGGCCGAAGACGTGGAACAATTGGCCCGCGCATGCCGCCTGCAGAAGACGGCGCAGGAGGACCAGATGAAGATCGCGCTAGCAGCGCAGACGATTGGAGACAGGCCATGCGGCCCACTCGACGGGCATCGCCAGCGCGGAGGCCGTCGTCTGCGGGGTTCAGCCCCCGCTGGGTACATGTAGGAGGAGCTGCAGGAGTGGACCGAGTGGATGGAGGCGAAGTTCGCGCAACTGTTCGTGAAGACGTACAGATGAAATTATGCATGACGCGTTGACGTCCACACCGACAGTGTGAATTGCGTAAACTGACGTTTGTATTCGGCGACTACACCCATGGTGCATAGTACACGGCGACATGGACCCCGAGTCGGTGGTCATTGGTATTCTGTCGTGCAACACGGACTCAGCGCAAGGATCAGCCACCTCGACGCCCGTCGTTCCGCCGTGTCCTGAGTGAGGCTCGCACCTGAAACAGTTGTTTTGTTTCCACTGCCCCGCGCGCGTCGCTCCGCCGCTCGCCGCCCTCGGCTGTTTAGGGTCTCTTTGGCGTCGGGGTTTGCGGCGGCGCGCCCCGAAGATCGCGCCTGTGCTGGGCGACCGACGCCACTGCGCTGAGTGCGTGGTGCTCCGCTGTGCACATCCGCTATCGCAGCGGGCAGAGGGCCCCCGTGCTGCCCCCGGTTTGCCCCTCCCCCCGAGCCCCGATTCTGTTAAAAAACCACCGTCGTCATCATCATCCGCATCATCATCATCAGCATCACCCTCATCATCAGCATCCGCATCAACATCACCAGCAGCAGCATCATCACTGTCGTGATTTCACGGGCTTCCGATGACCTCTTGAGGGCCGCCGCCGTTTGATGTCGCTCAAGTCTTGAGTGTGTTTGAGAGGCTCACAGACCACGCTTTCCCTGGAGTGGCATCGGACTTCGCCAGGTGTCCGCCAGTGC